GGACACGGTGGCTCAGTGGCTAAGATGCTGAGCTTGTCGATCGAAAGGTCGGCAGTTCGGCGGTTCGAATCCCTAGCGCCGCGTAACGGAGTGAGCTCCCGTGACTTTGTCCCAGCTCCTGCTAACCTAGCAGTTCAAAAGCACGTAAAAAAAAAAAATGCAAGTAGAAAAATAGGGAAATACGTTTCGCTTCTCCTCCAAGAAGCTTCTTCAACTCTGACTGGATGGTGGGGAATGGAAGGATTTATATTCCTTGCAGACAGATGGTCATTTGTATCCTTTTTGAAGGTCATCGAAGCACTTGGAGGTTTATCTGTGTGTGTCTTCAGGGTCAGGGACCCTCAAAAACAATGCAAATGACCAGCTGTGTCTCCCACCATCCAGTCAGAGCTGAAGAAGCTTCTTGGAGGAGAAGCGAAACGTCTTCAAAGCAAAAAAAAAAAAAACGAAGTCCAATTGCTTCCTGAAATAGCACCTTTGGGACAACCTGGATGACTGAGAATCTCTACAGAGTTTTATCTATACAATTTGGGGTGAAGACCCTTGGAATGGGGGTGGGAGTAGGACTGGATTTCCAGAGGAAAAAAAAAATTCAGGCTACAGGAACCAGAAGCGCCACTCAGGTGACCCTGAGGACACAAAGAAACCTCCAAGTGCCCTCAACGACCCTCTAAAAGGATGCAAAGGACCAGCTGCCTGCAAGGAAGATCAATCCTTCCATTTCCCCACCATCCCGTCAGAACTGAAGAAGCTTCTTGGATGGAGAAGCGAGACGTCTTCACAGAAAAACCAAGAAAGTCCAGTTGCCTCCTGAAAAAACAAAAAAAAAAAAAAAACCAGCACCTTTTGGGACAACCGTGACGACCTGGAGGATGGAGAATCTCTACAGACTTTTCGCTGGAAGGAACTGCCCGTTTCAGCACCGATTTGCGGTCCAGCCCTTCTCTGCCGGATCCGATTGATAGAAAGCCAGCCACCGCGAGGGTTTGAGTCCCGAGTCAGGACCGCACCGTTCCTACCTCTGGGTGACCGAAACGCGGGTCAGTGGGTATGGGGGGGGCAGTTGAGATCCGGGGGGGGCCTTGTAGGGCTGGGGAGACCCCTCGGAGGAAGCCAGCCGGCGCAGGGGAGCGCCAGGACCCCACTCCATCCCCTGGGGGTCCCCTCCCCCCCTCCCCTGGACCTCCCCCCTCCCCTCCCCCACCCCCAAAGCACCCAAGGTCGGTGCTTCGCAGCGCAGCCGGGTGGATTCCTGCCTGCTCGGCCTGCACCACCGCGGGCGGGGAGAGGGGGCGCCAGAAGCAAGAGTGGAGGGTGGGGGGTGGGGGGTGGGGAGAGAAAGAGCCGGCCAGCCCATTCCCGCCCCCACGGGGGGGGAGGGGAGGGGAGAGGAGGTGAAGAGCCAGCCAGCGGAGGAGGAGGAGGAGGAGGAGGAAGAAGAGGGGAGAGCAGCGGTCTGCGGGGCTTGAGAGCGGGGTTGGTGGGAGGTGGGCGCGGGGGGGGGTCTCCGCGCCGTATCCACGCCCCGCTCGGCTCCCCCCCTCCTGCCGCAGTGGCCGCGTCCTGCCAGCTCCCCGCCCCGCCTTTGCCAGGCTCCCCTCGGCGCGTCGGGGCTGAGCCAGCCGGAGGTGGCGGAGCTCTCGTCGGCTGCTGCTGCTGCTGCTGCTCTTGCCGGGGCTGAGGAGGAGGAAGAGGAGGAGGAAGAAAAAGAAGAAGAAAAAAAAGAGGAGGAGGAGGAGGAAGAAGAAGAGAAAGAAGAAAAAGAGCAGAAGGAGAAAGAAGAAGAGGAGGAAGAAGAAGAAGAAGAAAAGGAGGAGGAGGAGGAAGAGGAGGAAGAAGAAGAAGAAAAAGAGGAGGAGGAAGAAGAAGAAGAAGAAGAGGAAGGAAAAAAAAGAGGAAGAGGAGGAGAGGAGGAAGAGGAGGAGGCCGGGGGGGCCATGGCGGCCACGGAGCTCGCGCGCCAGGTGGTGAGTGCGGGGGGGAGCAGGCAGGCTGGGGAGGGGTGGGCGTGGGGGGGGGTCCCGGGGGTCTCTTCTCTTAGCCCCTGCTCGTCCCCGAGGGGCTGGCTGGCCGAGGGGGCGCGCCGGGGCTGCCTTGCTGCAGGGGCCGGCCGAGGCAAAGGAAGCAGGGATGCTGGGCGGAGGGGACTGGATTGGAGAGGTCCGGCCGGAGTTGCTGCTGCTGCTGCCCCCCCTTGTGCGGCTCCGGAGCGGCTCCGGAGCGACGCGGGGCAGGGAAAGGGAAGGGAAGCAGAAGGAGGGAGGGAGGAACGGCTGCAGCTGCGGCTCCCTGCGGAGAAAAGCGGGGCGGTGGGCTACAGCGGAGCAGCCCGGCTGGATTTGGGTGCCTTTTTATGGGGTGGGGGTTTTAGGGAGGGAAGGGCGCGATGCAGGACCGCGGGGTGTGGAAGGGGATGCCTCCCCCATCCACACCCAGCCTCGGGGCTGGTTTGGGGGGGTGGGGAAAGGTCCGGCGGGGCGTGGGAAGGGGCTGCTCGGGCCTGGAAGGCAGGTTTGGCTTCCGGAGGGAGGGGCGGGGAGGAGAAGGGACGAAGCCGGACCAAGCACGGCTCGGTCTTGGTTTGGGCCCAAAGGGAGATTGCAAGCTGATGGGAAACGGAACCGGGCCAGAACCGGGCCAGCTCTCAGCCATTGATCGCCCTTGGGGTGGGGGGGTGCGGGGTGAGGGGAGAGACGAGGAAGGCTTCCCCCTTCCCTTCCTTTCCCTTCCCACCCCCCACTCAGGCCATTAGACCCATCCTTCCCTTTCTAGCTCCCATCATCCCCAGCCGGTTGCAACACAGGGGGGTTTGCGTAATTTGCCTGCCACTGTTGAGCCACTGGCAAAGACAAAGAGGAAGGTGGGCTGCTCCCCACGTGCCTCCCCCCCACCCCAAAAATAATAGTGGAGAGATGGGAGCTCTTGTCTCCCCGCAGAAGGATAGGTTGGGATTAAGACACCTGCGCCAAATCCTGAGTGTCTCCTTCCCGGGCTGGTCAAATAAAAACCCCAACCGAGCGTGCCAATCTTTTTTGCTTGTCCTTTGTGTTCTGGAAGGAAACGAACCTGGGACTGGTGGCAGAGTCGTTTGAATTCATTTCATTCCTTGGTGGGTCTTTTCCCACCGAGGAAAATGGATGATGGGCAGCTGACGGCAGAGGCTGTCTTGGAAATGGGCTTTTTATTTTTTATTTTTCTTTGAGAGTCGGGGGTCTCTATGGGCGCAATCTTTGAGCTGGATAACCTGGATCGCCTTACATGGGAGGTGGGGAGTGGGGGGCGGGGGCTCTGCTGGGCTGAGGCTACCCCGGTTGAGGGGAGAGCGAAGCGGATGCTTCCCCCCACCCACCAAACCCCCAGCAGCAAGGGCCAAGCGTCACAAAAAAGGACAGCCTTGTTGAATTATTATTTTTTTTAAATTTTGCTCTGTGGGTCTTTAGGGCCTTGTAACTCTGCCTCGGTTAGCAACCTTGATTGTTGGTTTAATTAGCCCCTTGGCCTGGTGGCTTTCAAGACCGGAAAAAATACTGGTTTGTTCCATTTTGGAATGTTTGGGACATGGGGAGAGGACCGACTGCTTCATTGATTTTAGTTATTTATTAGGTGTTTTTTTTTAAAAAAAATCTCATCTTGGTTACTTTTTAAGTAACTCAAGGGAATTGAATATACCTAATTGCTCCTTCCTATTTTCCCCACAATGACAATCCTGTGAGGTGGGCTGGGCTGAGAGAGGGAGGGACTGGCCAAAGTCACCCAATTGGCTTTCATGCCTAAGGTGGGACTAGAACTTACCATCTCCTGGTGATTGGCCCATAGTCACCTAGCCAGCTTTCATGCCTAAAATGGGACTAGAACTCACCATCTCCTGGTGATTAGCCCAAAGTTACACAGCTGCCTTTCATGCTTAAGGCAGGACTAGAACTCACCGTCTCCTGGTAATTGGCCCAAAGTCACCCAATTAGCTTCCATGCCTAAGGTGAGACTAGAACTTACCATCTCCTGGTGATTGGCCCAAAATCACCCAGATAGCTTTCCTACCTAAGTTAGGGCTAGAATTTACCGTCTCCTGGTGATTGGCCAAGTCACCTAGCCAGCTTTCATGCCTAAAATGGGACTAGAACTCACCATCTCCTGGTGATTAGCCCAAAGTTACACAACTGTTTTTTTTTTTTTGTTTTTTTAAAATTTGATTTATATGCCGCCCTTCTCTGGAGACTCAGGGCGGCTTACAGTGCGTTAAGCAATAGCCTTCATACTTTTGTATATTTATACAAAGTCAGCTTATTGCCCCCACAAACTGGTCCTCATTTAACCTACCTTAGAAAGGATGGAAGGCTGAGTCGACCTTGAGCCTTGGAGAGATTCGAACCAGCAGTAAATTGCAGGCAGCTGTGTTAATAACAGGGTGCTTTAAACCACTGTAGTACCAAGGCTCTTACTTCTTTTTGTTAGTGCTCCAAAGCGTCCCCCTTTTTTTCCCTCCCCCTTTCCAGCGCTTTTTCATGCTTAAGGCAGGACTAGAACTCCCAGTCTCCTGGTAATTGGCCCAAAGTTACCCAATTGGCTTTCATGCCTACGGTGGGACTAGAACTTACCATCTCCTGGTGATTGGCCCATAGCCACCTAGCCAGCTTTCCTGCCTAAGGTGGGACTAGAACTCACCATCTCCTGGTGATTGGCCCAAAGTCATTCCTCCCCATAAAGCCCAGATGGCCTTCCTGCCCAAGGTGGAAACTAGAACTCACAGTCTCCTGGTTTCTAGGCCAGCATCTTAACCACTAAGACCAAACTGGCTGTAGGAATATGCATCCCTCATTCTCTCCCATTCCAGAGGACCATAGAAAACCAATACTGGTCCCTGCAGTATTGAAGTTCTACCAATTAGCAGAAGACAGGCTGGGCTTTGATTGGTTGAACTCACAGTGTACTAAAAATGTCGATTTGTACATTTGTGACTTCTCTTGATGGAGAGACGTGGCTCTCTCTGGCTTGTGTCATCTCCAGACCTCTCCATGATGGCTTGCTCAACAAACTTGGATTTAGAAACCTTGCTTGGAAACTCAATCCAACCCATTGGATTCACAGCAAATTTGGAACACAGAAAGCTGGTTGGTTTCACAACAGCTTCTGGAGTCATCTGGCTATTTACCACAAGGGAAGGAAAGAAGAAGGCACCAAGTTTCTCTTTGCTTCCCGTTGTAGCCTGTGAGGATATTCTCTCCTATTGTAAGGGAACCTTTGTCCATTTTTCTGGGTAGGTAGATACCACTCGGTGTGTGTGTGGGGGGGGGTGTCGGATCTCAAAGCCTCCATTGTTGTTTGTTTACGAAAGCCTCTGGAATCACTCTACAGATTCTTTTCTTAACGTTCTTTACATATCATTTTTTTAATTCCCCCCCCCTCCAGATTCATACTTTAATTCTTTAAAGAATGTCGTTCTTTAATTCACACTTTAATTAACACAAATCAGGATCACGTGAAGTGTTAATACCACTTTATGAGGCCTTGGTAAGGCCACACTTGGAATACCGCATCCAGTTTTGGTCAACACGATGTAAAAAAGATGTGGAGGCTCTAGAAAGAGTGCAGAGAAGAGCAACAAAGAGGATTAGGGAACTGGAGGCTGAAACATATAAAGAATTGTTGCTGGAATTGGGTATGTCTAGTTTAATGGAAAGAAGGACTAGGGGAGATATGATAGCAGTGTCCCAATATCTCAGGGGCTGCCACAAAGAAGAGGGAGTCAAGCTATTCTCCAAAGCACCTGAGGGCAGGTCAAGAAGCAATGGATGGAAAGTAAGGAGAGAAGCAACCTAGAACCAAGGAGAAATTTCCAGACTGTCAGAACAATTTATCAGTGGAACAACTTGCCTCCAGAAGTTCTGAATGCTCCACCATTGGAAGTTTTTAAGAAGAGGTTGGATAACCATTTGTCTGAAGTGGTGTAGGGTTTCCTGCTTAGGCAATGTTGTGGTCCTGCGGAGCTGGCAGCAGAGTCGGACAGTGAGAAGGCTGGGGAGGAACATGGGCCAGTCCTGGAGTCTGGGGAAGGCTCGGACGAGGGCTCTGCGTCAGAGGCAGAGATGGGGCCAGGGCCATCTGGGAATTATGTGCTCACTCCAGAGCCTCCAGAGTCGCACATCAGCAAGGCAGAGGAACAGGGAGAGCCTGTTCCCAGTGCGCGCATGCGCAGAGCTGCCAGAAGGCAAGAATAGTTAAAAGGGTCGACTCGGGAGTAGGACTTGGAGATGATTGGCCCCTCCCATGACATAAAGGAGGAGCAAAGGTGCATGGGCCTTTGCAGGAAGCAACTGTAGTTTGTGCTGGCTGGTTTCAAGACTGCAGCTCCGTGTTGACTCTGTGTTCCATGTGGCCTTGCAAAGTTAATTGCCAATTAGGTCTTGGCAGCGGGTCAAGGGAGATAAAGGTGGGTGTTTATCAGTCTTATCAGAAGAACTGTGGCAGACTTCTGTCAGACCCTTTACAACTATTTGGGACTCATCTGTGATGGAAGAGATTGAAGCTGTGAATGAGCAGAATTCACAGCCGTTGAAATAAAAAGAGGGTTTTTGGGACTCACTGTGTGCTTTTACTGTATCAGGTCAGAACAGGCAGAGGGGTTGGACTAGAAGACCTCTAAGATCCCTTCCAACTCTGTTATTCTGTTATTCTTGCCCAGTTTAGATGGCAGCGCTTAACTGACTTATTCTGATTTTTGAAAAGTTAGCAGGATTGGTAGTTGAATAAGAGACCACCACTAAATCCTTGGCTCGGAAACTAGGCAGGGAAGTCAAATCAATGTAGAAGATAATAATAATAATAAAATTTTTTTAAAAAACCCTGCATGAATGTGTCCGTTAAGATTAGCAGGAGTTGAGCTGAGTTTGAATGGAAGGTTGTTGTGTTGTGTAGAGTTTAGATCTGGAGGGTTGGAATTCATATTTCTGGATGATGGCAAGGGGTGTAACACATTTAAGATTGCGGAAGGGTGTTAGAATTGGATGCAGATCTGAATTCAGTCATTGGGTTCACAAAGACTCCTTGGGTTAAAAAAAAAGTTTGGCAGGCCGAACATCGCCCGTAATGCCAAAAATGGCATCACCCGAGTATGCACTTTCTGTAGCATGCCAGCCTTCCATCAAGATGCTTATGTAACGTTCTAAAGTTTAGCAGCCAACAAGAGATAATTATGAGGTTTGGGGCTCTGCCTGCAGGCAGAGAAGCCTCCATCTACTGTCTTGATTGATGTCGCTTTTTTGACAGGCGACAAACAGATGCATCGCGCATAGAGAAGGTTTTCATTCTTGAGCGTGACTCATGGAAGTCCAGGACTAGGAAGGCTTTTGCATGGGGGAAAAGCAACCAGCAAAGAAGGGACTTCATTACCATCCAGAAGGGTCTCTCCTGAGTGGCAAACCATCGTGGTCTTACCTGTCATGGAGAAGAAGGAGAATAACAGACTTGGAAGGGACTTTGGAGGTCTTCTAGTCTAACTTCTGCTCAAGCAGGAGATCCTGTACCCTTCCGGACAACTGGGTTGTCCAATCTCTTCTTAAAAACTTCCAGTGTTGGAGCATCCACAACTTCTGAAGGCAAGTCCTTTCCAAACAGTTCTCACTGTTAGGAAATTTCTCCTAGGTTGCTTCTCTCCTTGATATGTTTCCGTCTATGGCTTCTTGTTCATCCTTCAGGTGCTTTGGAGAATAGGTTGACCCTCTCTTCTCTGGGACAGCTCCTCAAATATTGGAACACTGTTAACATGTCACCCCCTAGTCCTTCTTCTCAGTAGACTTGTTGTTGTTGTTAGATGCAAAGTCATGTCCGATCCATCGCGACCCCATGGACCACGTTCCTCCAGGCCTTCCTGTCCTCTACCATCTTCTGGAATCCATTTAAGCTGACACCTACTGCTTCAATGACTCCATCCAGCCACCTCGTTCTCTGTCGTCCCCTTCTTCTTTTGCCCTCAAGGATTTGAGCTTCATCTTCAGGATCTGGCCTTCTAAAGAGCAGCCAGAGTTGATCTCCTCTAGGACTGACCGATTTGATTGCCTTGCAGTCCAAGGGACTCGCAGGAGTCTTCTCCAGCACCAGAGTTCAAAGGTCTCAATTCCTTGGTGCTCAGCCTTTCTTATGGTCCAACTTTCACAGCCATCCATTGCAACTGGGAAAACCATCGCCTTGACTACACACACTTTTGTTGACTAGACACACCCAATTCCTGCAATTGTTCTTTATATGTTTTAGCCTCCATCAGCCTGTTAATCATCTCTGTTGCTCTTGTCTGCATTTTTTTCTAGCGTGTCAACATCTTTGGGCCATTCCATTGAGTTGGCCTCTTGCATGTCCTTGGTCAAAGAGAGACCTGGGCAATAGTTTTATAACTCACCCGTGGATTAAGAGGGAGGACACATTGACACGTTATTGGTGTATCCTTGGCCATCAGTAGCTGATTTATTGTGGGTGTTGGCAGAAGTGACAAATTGGAAAAAAACCTACTTGGGATTCTGGTTTCATCATCCTGTGGGCAGCTTGCCCCTTTGTTGGAAAGCAGTCTTTGAGTCTTTCTGGTGGACTTCTCAAGTCTCTGGTTACTCATAGTACGAACCCAGGAGTTTGAAAGTTGGTTTCAGGAACGCTCCTAATAAGCAAGGAAAAATAGGTCAGCCCAGCAGACACACCATGGTTTCTCTGAGTCATAAATTAAGTACACAACATGTGTGCAGCGTCTTTGTGCTAAGAAGCAGGCTGGGATGTTGTAAGCTGCTGTTGGTTGCACTCGGAGAAGAACCCTGGGTTTGATTGATCCTTGAAGTAGCGGGGCCACCGCAGGGGTGAAATCCAGCAGGTTCTGGAGAACTGCTAGCGGAAATTTTGAGCAGTTCGGAGAACCAATAGCAGAAATTTTGAGTAGTTCAGAGAACCGGCAAATACCATCTCTGGCTGGTCCCAGAGTGGGGTAGGAATGGAGATTTTGCAATATCCTTCCCCCAGGAGTGGGGAGGGAATGGGGATTTTGCAGTATCCTTCCCCTGCCACGCCCACCAAGCCACGCCATGCCCCCCCAAGCCACACCCACAGAACCGGTAGTAAGAAAATTTGGATTTCACCACTGGGCCACCGGTCCATTTTACGGCCTTTGCCACTAAAAATTTGAATGTGGATGGATGGTACGATTTTGGAAGTATTAAGTGAGTCAACGGAGAGTGGTAGATCCTGTTTTGTGAAAAAGGACCTTATTCTGTCGTTGAGACTTCTTAGAGTACCGGTTTTCCAGCCATTTATGAAAGGTGTTGATAACACACCTTGCCTTTTGAAGATAGCTAGCAAAATTATTGACCTACCCAAGGCTTTCGTGGGTTTTTTTTTAAGGGTTACCTTGGTGAAAGCGATAAGAACATTTGGTTTCCTTTTAACCCGGTCAAATAAGTCATTTATGATTTGGCAGAGGAGAGGGGGGAAAAGCACTCTGACTCATGTCATGTTTGTAATTGGTCATAAAAAAAATGGAGGGGGGGAGGGGCTCACTTAGTAGCAGAAGACAAACAACACCGGTGGATTTTTTTTCCTCACGTTTGTGGGGGTTTCTGCATTCCAAGGAGAAGGTTCATAGCTACTACAGTCGTGGCCAAAATTGTGGAAACCTTTTGGGGAAAGTGTATTTTCTAAAACTAGCTTATAACACCACTGTTTTTAGGAGTAGTACCATGAAATTTATTGGTTCAATTTTATTTATTGGTTCGATTTATATGCCGCCCTTCTCCGGAGACTCAGGGCGGCTTACAATGCGTTAAGCAATAGCCTTCATACTTTTGTCTATACCTGCTTAGTAGGGCTTTCGCCCCCACCCTCCCAAGCAGTATTCTTTTTTATACAAAGTCAGCTTATTGCCCCCACCGGAGGCAATTTTTTTACCTACCTCAAAAGGATGGAAGCTGAGTCAACCTTGAGCCTGGTGAGATTTGAACTTGCAGTAATTGCAGGCAGCTGGTGTTACTTAACAGTACTTTAATCTGCTGCGCCACCAAGGCTCTTACATACAAAAATGATCACCCTAGAAAAAACGAGATGCACAAAAATTATCACCATGCCAGTTAATACTTAGCTGGGTAACCTTAAGCATGAATTACGTACGGCCTTACAACGTCTTCCCATGGAGTGAACCAAGTCTTTTAGTTCTGCAGCTGTTCTAATGTGAAACCAAGATTGAAGGATGGCTTCTATTAACTGGGTTTTATTGCTGGTCTCTTCTGA